TGGAAACTGTCTCTTTAAATTTCGAGGAGATCTGTGCTCATGTGTCGTAGAACCGTCCGAGGTTGGGGCTGGGGTGCCCACTAGTTCAGGCACCCCTATATTCACCAGAATGGAGGTGCGCAGATAGCAAGGGACCACCGAACAGATACCAAAAGAAAAGAATGTCCACACCTTTATCTCAGCGGTTGTGCCAGGCATCTGTGGCTGCTCTGATCTTTCCCCCGCTGGGTCTCACCCAAGATGGCGGCTCCTGGAGCAGCCGAGTGTCCCGGACTAGAAAGCAATAGATTTCTTGCTTCTGCCACAAATTCCCCCAGCTGTGAGCTTTCCAACCTTCTAAATATTTCTTTATATGTGGGTGAGAGTTCTGGGACCAGCCCCTGAACCTACTTGGTCAGGTATTACTGCACTTCCGCCTAATCCACCATCTTGTCCCCCACCCCCCACCCCCCCCAGTCATGTTTTGAGTGCCTTCCAACCTGAGGAACTCATCTTCTGGCACTGTATCTGACCATATTCTGGTGCTATTCATCATGTTTCAATATTCAGCAATCTGGTGCTAACAGTGTTCCACTCCTATTCATAAGATTTTCAGTGACAAAATATTCAGAAGTAGTCTGTTTCTCTTTCTTCCTACTCTGTCTGTCTTTGTGTGGAAGCTCATCTGAAAACTGTCTACTGTGGGTGATGAATGCTATTCCTTGTGTATTCTGAAATTCAAAATACACGTGGAATAGCATCCATAATCACAGCAGCATACAAGCCACCATAGTACAACAAACTTATACACTCTACTGTAGCCTGGAGTCCTGGTGTAAGTGCTGTGGGTTAATGCGCTCAACTGCAAAGTCGGTTTGAATGACAAGGTTGGCAGTTCAAGCTCATGAGCCACTCCTCAGTAACCCTATACAGGGTTACTATTGGTTGGAACCGACTGTACAACACTTAACAACAAGAGCAATACTGTAGGCTATTAAGTGTACAGTATCTTTAATGAAAGAGTTTGAAGTATTGTAAGAATTTCCTACACGTGTCATAGACATAGTAGTAGTCAACACAGAATTGCAACATACTTTCAATTTGTAAATACTCTCAATATCTGTGAAGTGCAATAAAGAGAAACTCAATAAAACAAGTTATGCGTATCTGTGGCAAAAGTAATAGTTATATTTCAAATTGCCTCTCATTTTGTTTTCTATTTTAAGTGTATAAATATTTATTTACTATTTATTTGCCAGGCATTGTGCCAGATAATGATGTTGTTCTGCATTGGTTCCAGGTCTGTATTCTTTAGGAGGAGACAGAAAGTTCAATATGATTTAATTATGGCGTGTGCTGCTATAAGATATTACTCGGCAGAGACAGTTAATGTAGTAAAGATTGTAAGGGAAACACTGACGCCTTAAGAATAAAAAGGACTATTAAGAGATGAAGGTGTTTAATTGGAAGAGTGGTCCAAGCTGAAAGAACAGTATTTTTAATTGTCTAGAGAAGAGTAATCATGTTGCATTTGAGGAATTTAGTATATCTGGTATATAAGAATACTTCCACTCTACTCCAGCTCCATTGACCATTTTTCTGTTCCCGTATCTGTTGAGTTCTGTTATTTCATGACTTTTGTGTCTGATATATCCCTTGCACCTGAAGCACTTTTCTCTTGAATATTTACATAGTGTGATACATTTTTTCATTTCTAACTTACACATCACATTTTTAGCGAGATTTTCCCATGAAGCTAGTGATCTTCTCCTACCTAGAGTACTACTCCTAATGTAGCATAGCTCCTGTCTTATCCTACTTTGTGATTAATTGCATTTAAAAAAAATCTTTTTCTTCTTGTCTCCCTCAGAATATTCATGAAGGCAGGGATCATGTTTTTCTTGTTGATAATCATATTTACTGCCAAGAATATTTGACTTAAAAATATATTACAAAATATATATATTACATATTTTTTAAAATGCTTAGTGATTGAAGAAAAATCAAAGAAACTGTTAGACATGTTACCGAAAATGAAGAGAGTAGTACCTCAAGAGGCCAAGAAATTTTCAAGAAGAAAGGGAGTTACCAGAGTGTTTTACATGTTTCTAAGATAGTTTGGGAGGCCTGGTGTGATGCTGTAGGATAAAGTGCTGGGTTACCAGGTTAGTTTGAACAACACAGTAGGTGGTTCAAGCCCACCAGTTGCTTCTCAGAAACCCCATATAGGGTTGCTATGAGTTGGAAATGACTGATGGTACTTAATAACAAGAACAACAAGATAGTTCTTTTAAAAGGTTATTTAAATTTATATATAAATACGTTACACCTTACACGTCTTTGAAAACTGCAAATTGATCACTAATGGATGTTGTTGTTAAATGTCATCGAGTCAGTACTGACTTATAGTAACCCTGTACACAGTTTCCAAGGAGTGGCTAATTTTGTGATTCAGACCAACCTTGTTGTCGACGGTAGTTTATCTCACAACACCACACAAGGGCTCCAATAGTATCTCATAATTATCAACATCTCATGTGAATTGTAGCATTAGCACTAGAATTAAGTATATGTGGAAGAGACTATAGTAGTAGATTTCTTTGAGATTTATTGTTGTTGGTGGGGTTGCTCAGTTAGTTCTGACTCATAGTGACCCCCTATTGGATTTCCAAGGAAAGACTTGTGGGTTTGAACCACCAGCCTTGCAGTTAGCAGTACGATATTTATCCTACTGTGCCACGTCAGGACTAGTTAAGTATATCTGTTGTTGTGTGCTTTCAAGTCCGTTCTGATTCATAGAAACCCTGTATAGGGTTTGTCTCACCCACCATGTGGTTTACAGTCTGTATTCTACAGTGTCAGGAGTTTACTATCTAGCTTAACTGGCTATAAATTATGCATGAAATATGTAACCCTGAATAAAGTTAACATTTAAGGTTAATATTTAATAAAATTAAAACTTAGCATAGTTGTCCAAAGAGGCTTCCTAATTCTGAAAGAAGGCAACCACTGTACCGTCTTTCTGGTGTGGCACTGTAGGATCAGCATTGGACTAAGAACCACAAGGTCGGTGGGACAAACCTACCAGCTGCTCCGCGGAAACCCTATACAGGGTCACTATGAGTCGCATCTGACTTGACAGCGCTTAAAACGATAGCAATATGCTAGGTGGTACAACAGTCAAGTGCTCAACTGCTAACCCAAAGGTTCGTGGTTTGAACCCACCCAGTGGCCCTTTGGGGAAAAGACCTGGCAATCTCTCCTGTAAAGATTACAGTTTGTGAGGCAGTTCTGTTATGTAGCATGGAGACTTGTTAAGTGGAAACTGAGTCATTGTAAATGTTGTTGCCACTAATCAGCAATAATAACAATGTTACCAGTTATTCAGTTTAAGACAATAAAAATAATAAAGATAGTAATGCTAGGTTTATGATAGTATCTGTATCAATTTCCTGGTGGTAGCTATGAATTTCTTTCATTGGTTTTTACTTAGTGTGTAGTAAATGCCTCATCATTAAACCATTTGCTGTTAAGATGATTCCAGATCAGATGACCTCATGAGTATGTATGTTGTTAGTTCTGTCAAATTGGTTCTGACTCATAACAACCTTCTATAGGGTTTCGGAGGAGTGACTGGTGGTTTTAAATTGCCAACCTTGTCATTAGCAGTCCAGTCTTTATCCTTCAGTGCCATAACAGGACTTGATAGGAAGAAAACTTAGTCTTAACTTGTTTGTTAAGTGACCTTATCTTGTTTGTATAGTTTAGTTCTAAGTAGAATTCATTAAAATTAATTTATATTTTAGAATTTTTCCAAGAATATTTTTGCAATTCTTCAATCTGTGAAAGCCAGAGAAGAAGGGCGTGCACCAGAACAGCGACCAGCTCCAAATGCAGCACCTGTGGTAAGAATATTTGACTATTTAATAGATAATTTTAATAATTATCTTTTGCATTTCATTGTTACAACTTATAAGGTATCTCTTCTTAACCATTTTTAGATTACAAAGTTCATAAACATTTTTTTTCAACATATGTGGAAAATGTTTAAATTCTTCCATTGTTAAAAATTGCTGTAATTTTTGAGACGTGTCGTAGTTGGATGCTGTTGAGTTGGTTCTGAATCATAACACCCTATGTATAACAAAAGGAAACATTGCTTGTTCCTTTGCCATACTTAACATCATTGTCATGTTTGAGCCCATTGTTATAAATACTGTACTTCAGATTTAGATACTTTAAAAATTGATTGCCTCACTCAGTCACTTGCCATTTAGGGGCCTCCCAGACAAAGTAAATTCCATATATGACATACAGACTATATTTAAACTGAAAAAAAAAAAAACACACATCAACATTTGTTGAAAATCATTTGAACAATTTTCATATGATTCAACAAAGGAAAAAACATAGAAATGAATTGTTTCTATGTTGTTAGTGCTGTACAATTATTACTGACTCATAGTGACCCTATGCATAACAGAACAAAACAATGTCCGGTCCTGTGCCATCCTCACAATTGTTAGACAGTTGAGTCCATTATTACTGTCATTGTGTCTTATCTATCTCTTTGGGGGTCGTTCTCTTTCGTTGACACTTTACTTTACCAAGCATGATGTCCTTCTACAGGAACATGTCCAAAGTACAAGAGACGAAATCTAGCCATCTTGCTTTTAAAGATCATTCCAGCTATGTTTGTTCTTGTGGCAGCCCATGGTACTTGTAATATCCTTCTCCAATACTATGACTCAAATGCATCAGTTCTTCTTGGACTCTGTTATTCATTGTCCACTTTTCACATGTTGCATATAAGGCTATTGAAAAATACAATGGCTTGTTTCTGGCACACCTCAGTCTTCAAACTGACCGTTTTCCTCTTTAATACTTTAAAGAGGTCTTTTGCAGTAGATTTGCCTAATGTGTATACATGAGTTCTTGACTGCTCCATGAGTAATGATTGTGGATCCAAGCAACATGAAGTCTCTAATAACTTCAATCTTTTCATCATTTCTCATGATGTTATTTATTGGTCCAGTTAAGAGGATTTCTGTTTTCTTTACATTGAGGTATAGTCCATACTGAAAGCTGCAGTATTTGATCTTTGGTAATTATTTTAAGTCCTCTACAATCAAGATTGTGTGATTTTTGCATTATCACAGGTTGTTAATGAGTCTTCCTCCAATCCTAATGTCACATTCTTCATATAATTTTGCTTCTTGGATTATTTACTTTGCATATAGATTGTATAACTGTGGTGAGTGGAGCCCTAACACACACCTATCCTGATTTTAAACCATCCAAAATATTCTTGTTTTGTTTGAATAACTGACTCTTGGTTTATGTACAGGATTCTGATGAGCACAAGTGTTCTAGAATTACTGTTCTTCACAGGGTTATTTATTGTTTGTTTTGATCCACATGCTTTGCATAGTCAATGAAGCACAAGTAAACATCTTTATAGTATTTTCTACTTTGAGCCAAGATTTCATTAGATGTCAACAATGGTATCTTCAGTTCCATGGCCTCTTGTGAATTTGGTTTGAATTTCTGGCAGTTCACGGTGTACTGCTGCAATTGGTTTTTATTTACTTGAGCAAAAATTTACCTGCATGTAATATTAGGATATTTTTCACTCATTGTTTCCATTCTATTAGGTCACCTCTTTTTGAAATGGGCACAAATACGGATCTCTTCCCACTGATTGGCCAGGTAGCTGTCTTCCAATTTTCTTGGCAAAGAATAGTTGAGTGCCTTCAATGCTGCAGCAATGTATTGAAAAATTTCTATTTGTGTTCTGTCAATTCTTGAAGTTTTCTTTATCACTAGTGCCTTCAGTACATTTTAGACTTCTTCTTTCAGTACCATTGGTTCTTGATCATATGCTATCTTTTGAAACTATTGAACATTGACCCATTCGTTTTGGTACAGGGCCTCTGTATTTCTCTTCCATCTTTTGGTAATTCCTGCCTGTTACTCAACATTTTGTCCATAGAATCCTTCAGTGTTGGAAGTTGAGCCTTACAATTGTCTTTATTTCTTTCAGCTTAGAAATGTTTAATGTGCTCTTTCCGTTTTAGTTTTCTAGTTACAGATCTTTGCACAGTTCATTTTAGTACTTGACTATGTCTCTTTAGCTGCTCTTAGAAATGTTTTGTTCAGCTCTTTTATATGTCGTTTCTTTCAGTTGCTTTAGCTTCTCCATATTTAAGAGCAAGTTTGAGTCCCTTCTGACAACTCTGCCTTTCTTTATTTTCCTGTCTTTTTATTGACCTTTTGCATTTTTCATGTATGATGTTCTTGATGTCATCCACAATTATTAATTAATTAATTAATCCACAATTATTAGGTCATTAGTGTCTAATGCATCAAATCTGTTCTTTAAATTCAGGTGGGATATGATGTTGTTAAGTGCCATTGAGTTGGTTTCCACCGATAGCAACCCTGTATAAGGTTTCTGAGGAGCAACAAGTGAGTTTGAACTACCCACCTTGTGGTTCAAATCGACTTTGCAGTCCAGCGCATTAACCCGTAGCACCAAAACAGGATATATTCAGTGTTATATTTTAGTTCTCGTGGAATTGTTTTAATTTACTTCAGCTTCAACCTGACCTTGGATCTGAGCAGTTGATAGTTTGTACCACAGTCTGCCTGTGGCCTGAGGGTTTTGACTGATGATACTGAGCTTTTCTCCATTGTCTGTTTCCACAGATTAGTCAGTTTGCTTTCGATATATCCCATTTGGTGAAGTCCACATGGTATAGTCTCTGTTTTTGTTGTTTAAAAAACGTATTTGTAGTGAAAAAGTCGTTGGTCTTAAAAATTTTTATTATGTGGTTGCTAGCATCCTTACTATTACCATGGCCTTATTTTCCAACTACTGATTCTACCTCTTTGCATTCCAGTCACCAGTAACTATCATTGCATCTTGGTTGCATGTTTGACCAATTTGATCAGTTTCAAACTGAAGAATCTTTAGGAATTTTTCAATTTGCATTATCACTGACTTTAATGATTGTTGTGTAAATTTGAATTACAGTGATATTAACTAGTTTCCCTTGTAGATGTAGCGATTACCTATCCCAGACAACATTGTTCATCAAGATATATCTTGAAATTTTGTGATGATGAATGTGACATCATTCCTCTTCAATTTGTCATTTCTGGCATGGTAAACGTTGTCATTTTCTGATTCAAAATGGGCAATTCCAGTCCATCTTAGCTCATTGATGTCTAGGATTTTGATCTTTATGCATTTTATTTTTGACAAATTTCTATTTTCCTAGATTCATAGTTCGTACATTTCACATTCTGATTATTAATGGATGTTTGCATCTTTTACTTCTCATTTTGGGTTGTGCTCCATCAGCAAATGAAGGTGCTGAAAGTTTTACTCTGTTCACATCATACTGGTAAACTCTGCTTTGAAGAGGCAACTCTTTCCCAGTAGCATTTTGAGTGTTTTCCAACTCATCTTCACCACTGTATCAGACACACTGAAGGTAGGTTGGAAAGCACTCAAAACCTATTTCATCTTCCAGTACTATATTAGACAATGTTCCGGTATTCATAAGGTTTTCAGTGGCTAACCATTCAGAAATAGCCTGCCTTTTCTTCTTCCTGTTTGTTTTAGTCTGGAACCTTTGCTGAAACCTGTCCACCGTTGGGTGATCCTATTGGTATTTAAAATACTATTGGCGCAGCTTTCAGCATCACAGTAAGATAGAAGACACCAGAATATGACAAAGTAAAAGACAAGTGGTGGCATTACAACAATACACAGTCTTTACAATCTCTTGTAGTATTTGCCTGTAGAAATCATTTTCTTTTATCCTTTAAAGTTGGTGTATTTTTACTAATATTTAGATAAATGCTTCTGCTTGGTTTTCAGCAAGTATAAGTGCTTTCTATTTGTCAGTTAGGGATATTGAGACATGAGTGAAAAAAATACACATGCTCCTCTTAAAACATGCGGTTTAGTGGGAATGGAGATGAGTGAGAAAGTTAAGTATTTACTGTGATAGTAAAATACAGGAGATTTAAATTATGAATTGATATTTTGAATAGCAGTTGATGGGAAATTGTTTTCAAGTCATAAAAATGTTTAACCATTTTCTTTGTGACTATGAATACTCTTAGACTGTATTTCCATAATATTGGAACACACGAATATTTTAATGTTTGATTCTTGATGGTTCTAGGAAAAAAGCAACATGAGAAAAGCCCACCCAGGTAAAACCCCAAAGAGATAAACAATTGCTAACTCTAATACTAATTCTAATCCTAACACTAATCGTTGTTGTTACGTGCAGTCACGTTGGTTCTGACTGACAGCGACCCTCTATAGGGTTTCTGAGGCATGGCTGTAGAGTTTGAACTGCCGACCTTGTGGTTCAGTGCAAGACTTCTACCACTAAATAGTATGAGTTTTTTCTTTGTGACCTTATCCTTTTCAAGTTTTTATTGTGAATTGAGTGGTAGTTTACATGGGAGAACATCGGTTTTACACTCACTGTTTCATTGCAATGATTATAGTCTCCTCGGTGCATCATCATTCAATAGTATGTGCTTCTAGTCCTTCTTCGTTGTTTTATTTTATTTTTTTTGTGGGGGAGGGGGAAGTGTACACAAAAACACTCAGGAATATATAATTATTTAAACAACCAAAGGGCACATTCTGCAAGCCTGCCTCTTGGCCGCCAGCACCTGGCTGTAGCATACAGCCTTTCTCTTTCCATGAGTCTGGAGTCCTTAGCTGCTCCATCTCTCTATGTGCTCATCTCTGCCTCCATCTCTGGTGTCGCTGTTTCTTTGGATAGTGTCCCACATTCTGCTCGTGCCCTTCTTCCTTGATGGTCCTAGGGTCTTCTGTTTCTGGAATGTAAGATTAACTACTCCCCCATTTATGTTATAAAACTTCTATCTTTACTGTTGTAACAACTGCAGTTAGTCATGGTTGATAACAGTTACTCACTATTGAATCATAAGAATCTTACCCCATCTCCTTTCACCAGACCCGTTTGTGATCTTTTTTCGTGTGAGCTTTTTTTCTTGCTCCTGGCTCTTGACTATGTAAGTGTTTATCTGTTTGATAATATTAGTATCTTTTATTTAAAGTAGTACATAGAGTGGGATTCAATTGTAAGGTATAACAAAATGAAGAATAGTTCAGACTCATGAAGACCATGAATTTGGAAATAAATTCTTCTTTATTTATCAGGTCCTCCCTCCTTACCCACTTCTAGTGTTACGTCAGTGTTCTTCCTCTCTTTCTTCTTGGTTCTTCTCTCTTTCCCCACCCCCTTTTCTTTTTTCTCTTTTTTTAAACTTTTTACTGCGAATTGGGTGAAAATTGACAGCAAATTGATTTTCCCGTCAACAATTCATATACATTTTGATTCATGACATTGATTGCAATCTTCACAATTTAACTGTAGTGTTTATGTTTACTTCCTGTATTTATCATTTCCATTCATCATTTTTTCCTGTCCATTTCTGCCTTCTGAGCTTTATCTGTGGGCAAATACAGCCTACTTGATCTCATTGGATTGATTGTTCCAAGGTATGCATGCCTGTCAGTGTTATTGTTTGCCTTAAAACCTGTCTGTCATTCGGCTGAAAGTTGAGATATTGGGGTGAATTCTGTTGCCCCTGATAGAGATGGTGATTTTCTAGCAATAAAATGCTTCAAAAATATAAATACAAAGTGACTAGTAGTCTCTTCCATGCTCATTGTCTTTATTACCTGTAGTAAGTGAAAGCTTGGAAGATAAATACCCTTATTTTTAAAATTATGCATATTATATAACATGAGAAAATATTAACATATAACTCATAATTTACTTTTCTACAGGATCCCACATTGCGTAGCAAGCAACCTATCCCAGCTGCATACAATAGATATGACCAGGAAAGGTTTAAAGGAAAAGAAGGTAAGTTATTTACTTAATTTTTTTTCTTATAGTGACTGTACTACACTTGAGGGGCATTATAGCCATATGGTTAAGAGGAAGGGTTGGTAAACTAAGGTTTGTAGTCCCAAATCTGTTCCATTGAATGTTATTAATAAATAGAATTTTGTTGGAACACAGCTGTGCTCCTTGATGTTACATGTTGTCCATGACCGCTTTAGCACTGTGATAGTGGAGTTGAGTTGTTGCTACAGAGACCATATGATATGGCCTGCAAATCGGACTGTTTACAGAAAAAAGTTTGCAAACTCATGCTTAAAGCATGGATTTTGGACTCAGGTTGCTTTTGGCACACTTATTGTGTGAACTTTAGCAAGCTATTTTAATTATAATTTGTGTGTTTCATCTTAAATATTGTTGCAGTACTGAAAACCCTGTATAGGGTCCCTGTGAGTCAGTTCCGACTCGCCGGCACATAATCACCACCACCACTGCTAGTAGAAGGAACTATCTCTTTGTGTTATTATATAAATTAGACTAATATTAAGCTATTAGAATAGTAAGTGGTATGTAATTCACTATGTGTACAACAGCTTGATGTTAATAATTCTAGTTTTTGAATAAAAGTGTATATTTTCAGTGGCGATTTTATATATCAAATGAGGTTTTCCAAATTATAAAGGAAAGCATGGCCTTGGAGCAGTGATGTGAGGACTAATTTTGCAATAGCGTACATGTATAATGACATAGTGAACCATTTCTGCATCAGTAAGGTGGTTAGAGGTGAGATTGCCATCAGTTAAATTTCCTCTTGGGATCTTCATTTATCTTGACTTAACTAATGGGGAAAAAATAAGATAGGAACAGCTAGGAATATAACATTTATGATTATTTTTTGCATAATCTACAGTCTCCATTTAAGTTTCTCTAAAGGATGTGTTGCATTGATGAAGTTAATTTGGTGTTTTGACTTTGTTTGCTAGATAGGGGAATGTACTAGTTAAGCCCAGAAAAAGACAGTAGTACATTCTTTTATTACAGTGTTTTCGTTGTAAAAAGATTGATATAAAACAGGGTGTGCAAACAGGTGCACAGACCAAATCTAGCCCTCTATGGTCCATATCCGATCATCATACCCATTTCTTTCCTTGTATTCACTATACTGCTCTTGTGCTACAACTGCACAGTTCAGTATTCTGACAGATCTCATGGCCTGCAGTGTACACAATATTTAATACATATATGGCCCACTGAGAAAAAGTTTGTTGACTACTGATATAAAACATATTGGGACCTAGTCATGGTACCCGTATCACTACTTACAACTTTGCTTTTCTGAAAAACGAGTAGCAGATGCCATATGATTATACTTTTGAAATAGAACTTTAAAAAAAATACTTTTTATTGTGACTATAGTCAAGGTTTACAGGTAAGATTGTTAGTTTTATATTAAACAAATAATACATTTTTTATCTCCATAATTGCAACACCCTCCATGAAAACACAGTTTATTTTCCTGTCTATGGGTTCTGTGTCCATTCCATCCTCTTTCCCATCCATTCTCAATTTTTTCCCAAGTAAATGTTGCTTTTTTGATCTTGAATGATTGACCATTCAATGGTGAGCATATCTTTCTAGTGTTGTAGATCCCCTATATACTTTCTACTGTTTGGCTGACAATTTGGCCATGAAAGTGAATTCCTTTCCAGATTGAATGGTGGTCGAGGGCCATAGTCTTGGGTTCCTCCAGTTTCTTTCTGACCAGAGGAGTAAGCCCACTTTTTTTTTTTCCCACCATTTTGAATTTTGTTCACATTTTCCCTCGCTCTATCCAGCACCTTCTAATATGATCCTTTTCAGAGCAGTTGATAGTGGTAGATGGGGACCATTTAGTTCTTCTAGCCTCAGTGTCCTGGATACTGATGTTCACATGTTCCATTAGTCCCCTGGATTAATTGATGGAATACAACTTTTTTAGTTAAAAGAAAAAACGAAAACTGTGGTGTTACTTGTAGCATCATATCTTAAGATACTATATGCTATGCCATACTATAATAGAATATTAGAAATAAGTAAGTTGGTTGTTATATAAAATTATTTAGCCTAATTTTTTATTTTCCCAACCAATTATATGATACTTGAGGATAAATGCAGAGATAGTCTTCATCATCTTCTACACAATAGGTTTGTTGGTGTTTGTTGAGTATGTTTTTGAGACCAGTGCCCTTTTAAAAAGTTTGTCTTTACTGGTATATAATTTAGCTTCATATGTATAGTAGATTCAAGGCTTTGTGATATTGTTGAACTTTCGGTTGTAATATACTTTATTACTTTATATTTGATATTTTTCACAAAATTTTTATAAAATAAAGCAGTAAATCCCTTTTCTTTATAGAAACGGAGGGCTTCAAAATTGACACTATGGGCACGTACCATGGTATGACGCTGAAATCTGTAACGGTAAGTTAACATTGATTGCACAGATTCTTTTGTCTCAGGCAGTTTATCTGAGTAGCAGATGCTTTTAAAAAATCTTTGCTTTCTAGTTCAGATGCAGGCCACCACAATTAAGCAAATAATGCTGTAAAGTAAGGCACATGAATTCTTTTGGTATCACAGTACGGGTAAAATTTATGCTTATACTATGTTGTAGTCTAGTAAGTGTAGAAAAAGCATTAGGGAAAGGTTGAAATACTATGAGAGTTAGCAAAGTGTGACACATACCCAAAGTGAGCACATTCTGTTGGAAAAAAAAATGGCGCTTGAAAGACTTGCTTGATGCAGGGTTGCTATAAACCTTTATTTTGTAAAACCTCATTGTCTGTGAAGCACAATAAAATGAGGTATTCCTGTACTTTTAATTATCAGTTGTGCTGATAGCTGTGTATGGTAGATCACTTGATTCAGGGTGTCCTGGTTTTGCTTTCCTTTTTAAATGGAATTGTATATTAAAAAAAAAAATGCTATTTTGACTGATTTAGAAGTATGGTGGTGCTCTACAGTTTATTTAGTACCAATAAGGAGTTCTGAAGTCCAGTTTGGGAAAGTTCTTTGCCATAATCTTACATTCTCTAAATTGTAATGTCTTATAATTTCTTTCTAACAAAAACACATAACAGATTGCAGTGATTGATGTATTACTTGAAAGTACATACTTGATGAAATTGAATGATATTGTGCCTTTGGTTCACTTTAGAAAAATTTCCTTATTTTTTATCTCCTAAAGATGACCTTTGTTGGATATTTTGAAAAACCATACATTACACATTTAATTTTTATTTCATTAAGGATAGGATTTAGTGATACAGAGCTGGGAATATGTTAACATTGTATTGCATATATGAGGTGGCTTCAAAAAAAAGTTCATGGAAAATTCCCTTGTCTTTTAGTTGTGTTTTTATATGAACTTTTTGAAGTACCCTTATATATGAAATAAAAGATTACAGTGCTTTTTGTACTTTATAAAATTATGCATTTGTGTTAATTAGAGTCCTGGTGTGGAGCTATTTGATAAAAACTGGACTGCTAACCACAAGGTTGGCAGGCCAAGCTCCCCAGCCTCTCTGTTAAAACCTTGTGTGGAATTGAGTTGCCAGCACTTAGCAACAACAAAAAATATATTTAGAACACTAATGTTAAACTCACTTTTATCTCTTTGAATCATCAGCTTTTAAAGGACTTTGTATTATATATGACAGTAGCTAAAAAATATTGCTACTAGATTTTCAGTTCATACATGTATTTCAAACCAGATATGTTTAAACATAGTCTCTAATCATTGGATAGCTGCAGACAGGTTCTGTCAGTGATACAGTTGTTTTAGTCTTGTTAGGCTGCCTTCAAAAAAATGATCCATTTAAAACAGGCTTTCAAGGAGATCGGCTGGGCCATTTAAATTCTAGGCAAAAAGGTTAACTAATAAATTTATGGTGATTTGTTTTTGATTCTCATGGACATAGGCTGATCATGGGGATTTATTATGGTGAAGTTTTAAGAAAACTGCAAACTGCATTGGGGAGACAAAGGCCTCGGAGTTTATACTGAGGCACTGTTTTCTATCATGTCAGTGCACTTGCACAATCTTCAAGGGTAGCAAGGGCTGTCCTGAGAGGATTTTTTTGGGAAAGCTTATCCTGTCCACCTTATAGCCCTGATTTTGCCCTTTCAGACTTTGTGCTTCCAAACTTGGAGGACATTTAAAAGAAACATGATTTGACTACCCCAAGGATGCTTAAAATTTCCATTTTGATGTTTTATAATCAGAAAAATTTTGAGAAAGTGTTAGATGGGTGGAAAGACTGCCTTCAGAAGTGTATACACCTAGGTGGGTGATATTTTTAGAAACAATAGCCTCACATTTTACCTTTTTATGTAATAAAGGTTTCTATAGTTTTGTAGCAATACTTTTTTATTTACTTTCATATTTGTGTTATCTCTAAATTAAGACACATCTTTATATCCACTTGGTATTTACTATGTTTGACTTGCTTATTTTCAGAAGCAGATAGCAAATGTGGAGGATCTGATTATAAAGTTGAATTTTTTCTTCTTTTTCTGGACTTCTAATAGGTATAGGTTGTTAGATAATTTGTTCATATGCTTGTTAAATTACATCCATTTTGTTTTTGTAATATTGAAAAATTGTGTATAGATTCAGTACATAGCTTATATTGAACTAATTTGTAGATCCAACATACTGCTTATTCAGCACTGTGTCTCAGACCTTGCTCTATTACTGGACTATGGCTTTGAATGGAACCATTGGGTTTCTTTAGAAAGCGTGTCTGGTGAGGCCTCTCTGAGAAGATGACAATTGAGCAGAGACATGGGGAGAGCATTCCATGTAGGACAGAAGACCAGTGCCCTCAGAGCCCAGTGAGTACAGGGAAATGTGGTAGCAGATAGGATATTCATACACTTATCGTATGATCTGGATTGGTTATTCCTGATTTAAAAATGCAATTCATAACTATAAGCTTTAGCTTAAATTCCTATGTGATTCAATTATTGACATTTTCTTTGGGACACACTTATCTATTGATTATCCATTCCCAAGTGACTTATAGTGGAACTGAAATTGTTATTCTCAAGTAGCCATCATGTAAGTTTGTTGTTTTCACATTTATCTCATCCCCATAGCTCTGAAATGTCGTGAAATTGGCTTCATTGTGTGAGCTTTCATGCAAATAGTGAACTCAGAGGTAATTTCTACCCTGCTGCTTTTTACAGAACAGTTGTTCTCAAAGTCAAAGACAATTTCTTAATTTTATCCAGACAGGATGAGAATGGAATGGTTTTGCTTCCTCATCAGAGATACTATTCCTAAATAGACTTAAAAGAGAGGAGACTTTTAGCTAATTTATTCTGTGTGATTTTAAAGAAATTATTACAAAAAGATTTACATAGGAATGAAGCTGTGAAAGACTAAACTTGTCAAGTTGATGGTAGTTCTCTTATCTGAATACCCACTTTGAATCTCTACTGCTTGTGACTAGATTCATTTATCAAGTAAATATAAAGAGAAGTTTGAACTCAAAAGTTCTGAAGTTTCTCAAATAAATGTTTCTTTTTATTTGAGTCTTAAATATACTTCCATTTTAACGTTTTTTTTCTCTTCTATTTAGAATTTTCTTGTGACTTTCCCCAATTTTCTCTTATTTTCTAATTAAGAAAGTTTTTTATAATGTCTATCCAGACATAAAAAGTTTCTAATAATGTGTGTTAAAAGGCTTTTCTGCACAGATTTGATTTCCTTTCTAATTTATATATGGCTTATTCTATTTAATTATTAAATTAATTAATTTTGTTTATTGTGCTATTATTCTTTGGGATGTTGATACACCTAGCTGCTACATACAGTTACTGAAGTTAGTATCAGTTTATACCTATATTGATGTACAGAATATTTTAAATTCCAGTTACTAAACTTATATATAATACTAAATGAATAAGTAGATGTCTGAAAATAGAAAATTTGGGGGCAAATGTTTTTTTTTCCCCATTTATATATATTACAGAATAAGGGTTTGTATTTTGGTAATAATATCCCATACTTATTATAGAAATATTGATTCAGAATGGTTTATTTAGGTGGTATATTTTAGTAATATTTGGTAATAGCCTATAGAAGTCATACTTAATTGAAACTTATTTTTGGAATAGACACAAAGGTATTCTTAAAGTTACATCTTTTTATCATTGTGTTTTTGGCTTGCTTTTGGTGTAGGCCAAGACATATGTTTCACAGTAAAGGTTCAGAAATCCCACACCATGAAAATATTAAAGGGTTGCTAGATGACTTTTTTTAGGCTTTTTCTCACAATAAGTTACTTATGTTCTCTATGTTTGAGAAACACTAGATTAAGCAGATTTTATGGTATAGGAATCACATTTTTAATACATAAATATTTAAATTGGAAGAAAGTAGTATAAATTGTTTCTCAAGTTTATTTAATCCCTGAATTTAGCTCTCCTTTCCCTATTGATAAGACTACTCCTGGGAAGAAGTAGAAAGGCGTAGAACCAATTTTAGGAAATATTGTTTTAGAGGTATGAGTTAGAGTATAAACTACTCTCTGAGGAGAGCACCAGAACGTTTCTTCATGGGTCTTTTTTGTGAAAGAGGCTGTCTCAGAGTAAGAATTTACCCCTCTTGGCAATGCTTTTTCATTATATATTATTAGATAAGAAAAGATGGTGTCCATATTTGCTGAAAATGCAACAGCAAGGGAACTCTGTGTGATTCTGCTAGAGAGGGAATAAGAAGATCTAAATCACAGTCCACTCTTGTAATATTTGTAAGGATTTGGTAATTGCATTGATGGGGAAACCACTTCATTTTATTATCCCAATCTAGTTTGTTCATTATTTGAACATTATTGGCTCTTGATTATTTTTTAATCTTATTTTTGAAGAAGTATTTTGCACCCTGAAATTACACAGATTGAAAGCGTCCTTTAAAATTTTCATTTGAATTGATTCTCTAATAAATGCATTTATTCCTTTCTTTTTCTTTTTTTTTTTTAAAGCTTTTATTGTGAATTGAGTGATAGTCTGTCTACATGGCAGAACATCAAGTTTGCACACAACTAATCACATCTTGATTGTAGTGATTACAATCTCTTTTTGGATGTACACAAAAACACAGGAATGTATAATTGTTTAAACACCCAAAAGGCACATTTAAATGCATTAATTATTATGATAAGTCTTGTGGAACCATTTTCCTGATAGTAAGCAAACTTAATATCTCTGGTAGATGTGTGTAATATTTTCATCATCGACATTCACTCAGGAGGATCTATATCTCAGCCTTGACACCAAGTTACAGATTAAAATTAGGAACACATACACTTAGTAACCTCTTCTTCCCCTTCCCTAAAGCCTTTTTAACTCTTTTCTTCATTTTCATTTTGGTTGTTAATTCTTTGGCTGTTCATCATCTCATCTTTGGTTGTTCA